TATAAGATAAAGAAAGTATATATTTCAGAAAAGGATTTATATACAAGTTAAATATTCATACAAGCCTTACCAGCTGGAACGTTGTCCTTTATTGTATGGAATAGCAGAAAATATTACAAATGGCACATGTTGATTCGATACCAAAACCATTCTATCATCCCCAAATTTACAGCCATTCACAGGTCGTTGCATCAAACGCAATTCCTTTGTAATCTCTGGGATTATGCTACTATTTGTCGAAATAGGTTGCACATTGTTCACTGCCTTTGTCTTTGGTTTTGATTGTGCTTTTGAATGTATGGAGCCAATACTTTCGTTGCTACTATTGTATTGATGCTTAATATCTTCCGAAAGAGTAGATGTTTGATGACTTATGCGCTTCTTATATTGCAGAGAGCCCACACGTCTTTCTGGTAAGGAATAGTCGCTTCCAGTAGTTCCCGTTCTAAATTTTTCATTAAATAAAAGTTTCCATTAAATAAAACTTTAAAATATGAGCAAATATAATGTATGTATTATTATTCAGAAAAGATAAATTTATGATACCATTTTTTCTTTTTTCTGACTAAATGAAAGCCAATTTGTTAATAGAAATTAATTTAATCATATTTTCACAATTCCTGATCTTATATTCTGTGATCCTTAACGACATTGTGTTGATTTCGTTAAATCGTTTTTATCCAGCTTTTTTGCTCCATATATATAAAACCAGCGCGATGGTATTAACGATATCATTATTGTCATTTTATAAAATCAATAAATGTATATCTCTCATTTATAATTATTATTACTAAAAAAATTATAATTAATCTTACTTCATATGATAAAACTTGGGAAATTCCACATATAGACTCTACTATCGAATATAAAGAGTTTGAAAATCATCTCATTTAAAATAATAAAAGATAAGATCACATTTTATTTATCAAAATTAATTAAGAAATATTAATATTAAAATATGATTAATTTCATTTCTTATTGTATAAAATTGATCGGTTTATCTATTTATTTAAAAAAACCTATTTCCAAATCTATTAAAAATCAACAGATAAATAAAAAAATCATAATTGCACACAATATGTATGAATTATACGCTAAATATGTAAGTAATGTATGGATGGAATGCAATCAAGTTTCACGATGTTTTTGTTTGTGATACTGTAGACGCTTTTGATAATGTTATCTGAATCCATTAAGTGTCATTCAATCTTATCTGTACCAAGACAGTCTGAAATGGAATATTATAGCGCAGAAATTTTCATACGCATTTAATTACCAACATTATTTCTTATCAAAAGGATGTTTTGATGCGTGTAACTTAGAATATTTGAAACTTTATAAGATATATATGGCAGTTGTAGTAAGATAATATACTAGCAGTACTAGCTAACTGAATGCAGTTATCTACTAATAAATTATCTTACTACAGAATGTACATCTTTAAAGCTTATATTAAAATTTTCACAATTAACATAGTATAAATTTTCTAAAATGATATACATATAGTTGTTTACTTTATAACGTTCAAGCAATTTTATTATCATAGACTATCACGACCTATTTCTGCAACAAAGGCTTAAAAGATAAGATAAAAAATATATTGTTAATGTACTTATGATAAGCAGTATCTTTTCTTCAGAGAAAAAAAAATTCTAATGAAATTAATTTTCACATATTATTTATGATACAATAAATATCTTAGCTGACATAGAATAAAGAACTTAATATAATTATTCAACTTTTTGTTTACTTGAAGCAAACCATTACTTTCCTTTATATGATATAATACAGGTGAAATAACACACGTAATGGCAATTCGAAACAATTGACTAATAAATCAAATTTTGTTCTAAATTCAATTCTGTCCAATCTAATTTTGTTATATTATTTTTTGCATTCTTACAATAAATTCAGATTGGCTGTAACCAAATTATAACTTTTATTATGTTTCTTTGTATCAACATTGACAAATTGTATTGCTTTTAATATTTTGATACACTGCTGATATAATAGCTTTTTTGTATATTAGTCTTGTTCTGATCATATTGATTTCTTTTTTTTTATCTGTCTCAAGGTAGAAACCATTAATTTAATTACCACTACTATTACTGCTGCTGATAGCTTTCTCAAACATTGAGATGAAATAAAAGCTATGACATTAAGCCGTAAACATAGTAGATGTAGTAAGCCTTAAGAAATGAATCAATTACAGTCGCATATGAGAAGAATAATCGATGTGTGACCAATTTCTTAAAGCTTAAAATTTACTACTGAGTTACTCTACCTTTTGATAAACTTTCGATTCAGCTTACTGTCCTACTCTTTTATTGTTTTGATTATCCAGCAAGTAAATTACCACATAGTTTATCCAAAGAGAGAACTACTGACTTCTATTATATTTGCAGACTTAACTTAAGTGACCCAGGTTGACAGGTATAAATATTTACCGTTCTCTAAACGAACTATGCATGCCACAAGAAAACTGCAAGTGATTTCTCTCCTGTTCCAAGAACATGGTAACTGCTGCCTTGGCAGGAGTGAGTAGTCCATCTGAATCAGAACTGAAGGAGTTGTGATCGGTGGCTTTGTTCACCGGCTGCGGAGAGTTGTTCTCTATCGTCTCATTCTGCGAGAAGTCGTGCGTCTCCTCCGGGGGACAGACGTCTAGCACCTCCTCCATGGAGGCCTCGAAGTCAGCATTCCGGCATACCTCCAGGACCGCCTGCTGTTCAGACTGGCCATCGCTAAGTCTGCGCGTGTGACTCGGCCCGCTGCGTGACAGGACGGCGAACTTGGTGTCCCGGTGACTGCCGTCGAGGGAGATGTTGGAGAGGAAAGTGAGGGCGGCCAATCGTCTACGTGAGTGATTTTTCTTTAGGGCCGCTGCCATTCCACGACGGACCGTGTCGAGATACCGGTGCCAAATACCGAGATGAGTAACGACAACGCGCGCCCGATGACAACGGCGGCGGCAGCGGCAGCGCCGGTGGCAGCAACGACGACGACGTCGGCGACGTCGACGGCGACGACGACGGCGGCGACGACGGCCTCGACTTTTTCGTACAACGACAACTAAGATCACAATGCATTGTCACTGCTGATACACTTAGTTCTAAGTTCGCTAGACACAATCACGGCCATGCGCCACGCGTACAAGGGTAAACCGATACCGCTCATCATCATGCCGTTTCCTAGAACGGGGAGCCCTTCACGAACACGCGCTACCTTCCGCACACAACCGTACGACTTTACCTACTACGCAACAATCGCGCCGATCTTCTCCCATCAGCGTCGCTGAAATCCTGGAACGTGTGGGATTGCGCAGTAGCACTTAACACGAATACTCAACGAAATGTGTGGTATCGTTAGGCCCGAAGAGAAAATATCAGGTGACACGAAAATTTTTCTTACGATTTAAATCAATATGTGAAATATGAAAATTATCATAGATGGCAATAAATAAGATCTATAAATTTGCCGCGGCCAGTATTTTTATATGAATACTGATGATTAAAAAAATTAAAGTCTACATTGTTTTTATAAGATAAAATTTGTACAAACACTCGGGATGTGTCGCGTGTAATTTAAATATTGTAAATATTACGAGAAGGAATTTAAATCTTCACAAAATTACGTCGAAAAACTTCATTAAAAGTTTTACTTTAAACTTCGTTAGAAGTTTTGCTTATATATAATTAATTTTAGAAAATATATCGCAAGGAAGAAGAAGGATATTTATTCAAACAAAATGATTTTAATAACTGTGTAAGCGCAGAATAACAGGTGATATAAATAAACATGTTCTATAAATAAATATGTGGAAATTTTCTACGGGCGCCTGCGTTTAATTACGAGGCTGTCTGCCAGTCACATGGTTATCTACGCGCGCGAATCGCATGCGCGCGAAGTTGATAGAAAGAGAAACATGTATGCCAACATGCAGAAAATTGTATGTTTTGTCCAGATCAAAACTGTTGGTAACCCTACGTCATGGAACGCGTTCTAAAAGCTGATTTTTCATGTGCAGCACGCTGCGGGGCAGTAAAATGTCATGTGATACAAATTTTCGAGAACTGATTTGCTGGATTCACACTGCATCCGATTTTCGTCGTACGACGACTCTGCAACCAATCAGAAAAATCGTATCATCGATACGATGCAAAATTTTGTTTCCTGATTGGTTGCAGAGTCGTCGTATACGGCGAAAATCGGATGTAGGGTGAATCCAGCAAATCGATCATTGGGCGTGGAAATTTAAAAAAACAGATAAACTTTAGCCCGGATCCTCATGCAGACAACAGCACTTGACACCGAACGCTGATTGGTATAAACGGATGATAGGAATAATAATTTTACCCCCGCAATTGGTCATTCAGCGCTTGGTGTCAAAGTACAAAAAGTTCAGTTAAAAAGAGCCACTTGAAGAAAAATATATATATATATATGTATTTATCTTGTTTTCAATACAATAATTTTTTGGAATTTTAAGAAACAAGATTTAAATTTGGACGTTGAAGAGAAAGAAAGCAAAAATTTGTACTTTTTCCACCATGATTAAGTGCATAAAGTGCAAACAGCGCGAACAGATTTACTAGGCTTGTTCTTTTTGCCTGCACTGTCTGCACCTATTAAGTGCATAAAGTGCAAACAGCGCGAACAGATTTACTAGGCTTGTTCTTTTTGCCTGCACTCCTGCACTGTCTGCACCAGTTCATTAGTTCAGACAGTGCAGAAAAAAGAACAGGCCTACTGTATCGAAATTTATTTGTATCCAGTAGGAGTGTTTTTCAAAATATTTTTTATTTTTCAACAAAAAAGCTAAATCATTAACTGTAATCTGTACTGTGCTTGACTGTGCTCAACAAACAAGATGCACTTCTGTTCGTGATAATTAAGATTTTATAATCTCTTTGTCAAGACAGAAAAAGTGAAAATTGAAACATTAAATAATACTAGAAATTTCAGTATATATAAGTTTTTGTAAGAACATAAGAAGAAAAATGAGTACTGAATACAAATTCGAGAAAGAAATAGACTGCAAGCAAGGAGCCGTTAGATCTGTACGATTCAGTGGTAAGAAATTTTGTTTACTTTTAGTGTAATATAATTTCATGAAGTATATAAAAACGTGGTTTTGTATTTTAGTGGATGGTTCATATTGCATAACGTGCGGGTCAGATAGGAAGCTAAAGCTATGGAATCCGTACAAATCTGTTACATTGAAAACGTATGGTGGACACGGTGATGAGGTTATGGACGCTTGTGCATCCTGTGACAGCAGTCAGATTGTATCTTGCGGATTAGACAAATCTATAATTGTCTGGGATGTGTCAACAGGCATGTCTGTGCGTCGTTTCAGAGGACATGCAGGTCCTGTCACAACAGTCAGGTAAATATATTTATTATTGAATCTGAAGATGAATATTATATTTTATTCAATAATAGTTCATAAGAATTATTACAAACAGATTTATATCTGATTTCATCAATGTAAGTTTAATCCTGGCTTAATTGACTTTTTTTCTAATTCTATTAGAACAACATTATTTACTAAAAATATTAGAAAAAAAGTTATGAACTGGTTAAAATTAATCTTACATTGGTGGTGCCTAGGATTTAAAGATTTAAATATTTAGTATAAAAATGTAAAAGTGCTTTCTAGCCAAATTACGCCAATTAAAAATTCTACTTTAATTTAATATAATTAACTTTAATGACTTTACAACTTGAATATATACATGTAATGATTTTTATATATACATATAATGATGTTTAAACATGGTATTTTTTTAATATAAATTTTTTTATATTAATTTTATTGGATGCATATATTAAATAGATTAAATCTGTTATGCTACACTGATTTAATCTATGTTTAAAAGTAGAATACAAATATTTCATATTATTAAATATTATACATATTTTATTTAATAGCATAACAAAATTAAATATTTTATGGTTCAACTGATTTCTATATTTATAATAAGCACATTTTTATGTCAATCTGTATATAATGTGACTTTAATGTGCATTATTGTCCATTGAGTATGTCTAATTGAATTTGCTATTAGTTAAGCTTAATGTTTCTTGTTGTAATCACAGATTTAACGAAGAATCATCAATGATCATTTCTGGATCTCGTGATAACAGTGTTATGTGTTGGGATGGACGTTCCAAAGCACAAGAAGCAGTGCAATCTTTGAATGATGCCAAGGATTCTATTTCTAGCGTGAGAGTTTCAGATCATGAAATCTTATCTGGTTCTTTTGATGGCAAAGTACGCACATATGATATACGAGTAGGAGAACTTTGTGAAGATTATATGGGAGGTAAGAAATAACAGTGATTAATGTAACAAACGTAAAATTATTGATTAGAAAATAATACAATATAAACATTTTAGATGCAATTACATGCGCCAGTTTTACCAGAGATGGACAATGTCTACTTGTCAGTTGTACAGGCGATGTAATTAGATTAATCGACAAGGACTCAGGAGAATTACTCGGCGAATTCACAGGACATACTGGAAAGGATCTGTGTCTGGAATCTAGCGTAGATTATCAAGATACAAGAATTCTTTCTGGCTCGATGGATGGAAAATTATGGATTTGGGATCTTGTATCTCAAAAAGTGGTCGCAAAGCTCTCAGGTTTTAAGCCAACCAAGTATCCTACTGTATCTATAAGTGTCCATCCACAGAAGAATTGCTTTCTTGCTTCTAACGGATCTAATATTTTGATGTGGAGCATGCAGTCTCACACAGATAATGAATAATAGTGAAACTTGTTCCATTATTATCCCTTTGTGTACAAAGTAAGTTAAAGTCTGTGATTTTTACAATATAATTTTAGTTTTAATAATTTTTACAATTTTTCAAACTGAATGTTTATTATGACTATGTACATACCACTAATAATAATGATTATTTTCAAAGTCGAACTATTTAATAATTGATGTGATTACTTGTCCACGTGATAATTTTTTTGTAAAAATTGTACAAACATCCTATACTAATTACATAAGAAATTAAGTTTCGGTGAAATAAGTTTGTTTTCACAGCTTATAATGTAGTTAACTAAAGATCTATTATAATTGACAAAAGGTTCAGTAATGTATAGTTCTCGAGTTATATTAAGGAGATGCTCCGTTTTATACCTTGAATTACAATAATTCAAGAACTATCCATTACGAAGTCTTTTATCTGTTACATTTTTGTTCGTCACATTATAAGTTATAATATACATGAAAATATAGTTATTTCACATATGGGGACTCAGTTTTTTAAATACTTAGTATGGAGTCCTTTACCTCACATATTCCGCTAATTGAATACTTTTATCTTACATATTCATAATTAAATTATTGTTAAATATATATATTTTTAATATCAAATTAATTAACCATTATCGTCTTGAAGAATTAAGAAATTATATGTGAGGTAAAAAATAGTATTTTAAAAATACAATTCTGAATGAAATGTGATTTTAATTAAATTGCAAGGTTTAAATTTAGTAACTCATTGTGGGTAAAGGATATTAAAGAATATCACACAGAGAAAATCAATCTTAAACTTTGAAAATTGGATTCAAATCTTATTTCGTTCAGAATTGTATCATGTTTGAAATTGTATTACCTTACCCTACTATCATATATGTACATATGTGTATGTACAACTGTATTATCTACAATCAAATTTCTTATACATAGGCTGCGATTCATAGTCAGTCTTATATTCAAGATCATTTCAAGTTCAGTTTTGAGGTGTCACGAATCAATCAGAGGGTCGCTAGTGTCTTAAGACATTACTTTAAGACAGTTTTGAAATAAGAATCGACTATGAATACCAGCCATGAAACTCTATTATCAAGGTCTATCCACGTGTGATTTTGTGAAAATACTACGAGAGAGAAAGGTATACATAAGTTTTCCTTGTATATATTTCTCATTCTAACTTACACACAAATTTATACTATCTCACTCTGTAATCTTAATTGAAGTTATAGAGTGAAATAGCATAAGTTAGAACGAGATAATATACATATAGAGAAATTATATACATATCTTTCTCTTTTATAGAATTTTGACAAAATCGCTCGCGGCTAGACTATAATAGTCTCTGCTCGTTCATACAAGACATATTTGTAAAGCAAGTGTATATTCTCTCAGGCAGCCAAATATTGATGTTCGTGGCAAACGTAGAAGTCCTATTCGGCTGACAAACAAGAAAAAAGAAGTGAAAAAATTCCAGTCGGGAGTAATGTACATCTGATTCGCACACAGGTGCAGAGGTGCGTGCGTACGTGCGTGTTTCCGCTGATGCGGTGACTCGCGTGAATCAGCGTGAACGCAAAAATTTCACGTCGTCGCTACTCGTCCGTCTCTCCTTGCGGAAGAAGGAGGTGGTGGTGTTTGCCTTTCCGGGTTAAGCTGGGCCGCGTATCGTATGATCAGCCACGGTGCGCCGATTCGCACGCGTGCGACGCGACTTTCGAGCGTGTATGCTTTTTAACACCGCGGCGCCGGCTCGCGGGGCGAGCGGAAAAGGAGATCGTGGACGTGTAATAGAACGAGAGGAGCGAAACTGCGCGCGCAGGTGGCGCGATATCGGTGCGTCAGAGTCGCTGGTCGGTCGGCCCGTAGTCTCGGTCTCGCCCGGGAGAACACGCGAGGGAAAGAGAGATAGAGAGTGGCGTTACTCACTGGGTGATCGAGCGTGGCAGAGAGAAGCGACAGAGAGCGAAAGAAACCGGCGGAATCGCAGTGGCGGACGAAAAGACGCAGACGTTTCAACTAATTTCGAGATTTCTTATCGCTGGTAAACATTTTTTATTTGAGAAAGTGTCAAGGTGAGAGTGAGAGAGAACGAGTGACAGGAGAATTTATTTTGTTCGAGTATTATTTTGTTTAGTTATGTAATTGTTATAAACGGTAACTATAAAACTTTAAGAAAACTTACGAATTTATGTATATACATGTATAATATATACAAATGTATTTATGTATGTATATATATACGTATATATCAACATTTATTATAGCTGTACTTGGCGGCTCTTCACCTACTTAAGTGATATATTTGTATAATATATACATATCAGTCATATTCTGTTCTTATTTAAACAAATTTAAATATATTATTACACTTTCAATAGTTCTCTGAACATAAAAATCTCGAGGCGCGAGATGACTTCAATTTCCTCATCTGTACGAATTCGAAAATCTCGTGAGAGTTTTGAAACGGATGTGGGATACGATAACGATCTGTTATAATAGTTTTTTTATGGCTTGTGACAACGATCTAACGAGAATTGAAACGCGACGATGTGGGCTCTCTCGTGTGAACGTATAGCGGCCGAAACTAGCTCCAAGTTCGACGCGATTCAAAAATTTTAAATCCCCCACCTCCGCTTGGAGGATCGTCTGAGGAGGGTGATTATTTGCGATGGGATTTTTGCAGATGCGTAAGTCGGAGCATTCGCGTTGGAGATCCGCCCCGAGGCCCGAAATCGGAGGGCGCTGACGCCTCGGCGCGACAATCCGCCACTGTCGGATCGACGCAGCACTCAGCAGGGCCAGGAGGAACGGCGAGGGAGAAGGACGGAGAATACCTCGCGATACGCGCACACGGAGGTGGCCGCACACGGGGCGGGCCGGTCGGTCTCACTACTTCGTGGAGTGTATTTTTTTCTAGCTGCACGTAGTAACCGCCGAGGAGGAGAGTGACTGGTTGACAGACAGGCGAAGAAGGACGGGAGCAACGAGGGTGGCGAGTGTCGCGCTGTTAATGAGAGAAGACGTCCCATCGACGTGTGTTTTGAGAGGACACTGATGCCGAACGGTGGCTGGACCGCGTGGTCTTGCGAGGAGGCTCCGTCAGTGATCGCCGCAGTTCCGTCCGATAGCGCAGAGCGCACTGTTATTGTTATTGTTGTTGATCGATATTCGTAAGAGGAAGAGAAGAAGAGTGAGAGAGAAAGCTAGCTGGGGTGAACGGGAGACGGGGAGAAGAAACTGTCGCGGCAGGAAGCACCGAGAGGTTGGCAACGGTGGTGGTGCCCGCTGCCGTTGGGTGGTGGTGGTTCGCCGTGACACAAGTGGTGGAACGGAGGCGACGAAGGACACGACCGTGAGAAGAAAGAGGGTTGTTATGGGGCGAGAATCCCGTGGCGTGCTGCTGCTCGTCGCGCTGGCCGTGCTGGCAGTCGCGGACGCCTTCTCGACTGACAGTAAGTCCGCACTTTTTGTCAGAAACATATTTTCGCGTCAGAGCGACAACGAGCGATAGGGGTGCGCGCGTAGGGGAGGGAAGCGAGGGAGAAGCTGGTCCTCGATGCCTTGGCTCGTATACACCCAGCTGCATCCTCGGCGGAATCCGCGACTTGTCTCTCACGCTCGTTTCTAGGAATCTCCCCGAATGACGTCGTGACATTTCAATATATGTGAGAGATTTTCAGTTATAATCAATTTCCCCTTTACGCCGCTATCCTTCCCCTTTCCAGAAAAACGTCAATGAGATTCGCGTAGGGTTCTTTTCCCCTGTCGAGGGCGGATTATTTATCCCGCGTTATTGGTCGCAGCTAGATATCGGGAGGAGATAATCGATTTATTTACAATCGTACGCGCCACTATTGTCAGCGTCATCGCTATTTCGCATTGTCATCGATAATGCGAGACGCGTGTCAGAGATTAATTGCGCTGTGAAATCACGTATTATTTTGAAAGAAAGACAAAACCCTGACGAAACCTTTAAAAAACACACCGGCGAGGATGCGAGAGGGGATTTCATGGCGGCCGTTTCTCTCATCCCAAGTCCATCTCCGAAATTTCTGTTCTCATCCCGTCGAATATTAAATACACTTAGCGTGTAAACCGAGTTTTGAAAAATCACCATTACATCAAATTTGCAGAAATTATTAATATTAGTACTGTTATGTGTCAGATGTCTGTATTTTATAAAATTGAGACATTTTTACAAGAACCGTCCTAAAAAACGTCTAATGTCCATTTCTAGTATTTCTACCAATGGGAATTAACTTTAAACTGAATTTTTTCTTAAAACTAGAAAAAGTCAGTTTTTTTAAACCAAAATTAAAGTTAATCTACATTAATGGTTTACACATCTATTGCTGTTTCCATAGGCATTCTATTTTGAGATCATTCCTTTTTTCCTTTCGATTGATATAAAATATATTTTCTCTACATACACAAGAGAGACATTATCTGTTTTGGAAACAAATAATAATGCACAAATTATCTTAATTTTAAAGTATGTACTATGAACATTTTAATTTTCATCATTGATCTTGTCACGTAAAAAATATAGTTAACATTTATTTTATAGTTAATTTTATAATAATTAAAAAAAATAGATCTCTTTTTATAAATATCAGCGCACGATCTTCAGCATTTATTCCCTTTGGCTCGGATTTTTCTTGTTTGTAATCAAAGGAAATTTTACTACATTTTGTTTAAATTTTTAATCTACATTGGAGGGTAGAAATGCATACGAAAACGTTTCGTATTTCGATTGTGGATTAGATAGATACATATTCGTTCTTATTAATCCTGCCCAGAGAACACACCAAGTCAAGAAAAAATCAAAACGATGTACTTTGAATGACATAATTTGAGTGCTTATTGACTTTAAGACTTTGAAATAAAGTCATTTTGACTTTCTTTTGACCTGGTACACCTTTGGAAACTTCAATCTCGGTTCAACTTGCTTTTCATCTTTTTCTAGAAAGAGATAAACAGTTAGTTGAACCAAGATTAAAATTAAATTGCATTCGTAGAAACGAACATTAAACCATTTCCAAATTGACTGGTCAGAAATTGGAATAAGTGATACGTGTATTGAGGAGAACTTCACGTGTTCTCGTTCTGTCATGGCCAATCACTCGCAGCATCCCTCCGGATCGCGGAAAGACGAGCCCCTGAAAAAGCGCTTCGGTCGAGACGTTCGATTCAGCTGACGTAAAATCGCACATTATATAAGTCCGATAGGCCCGACTCGCACGGCGTCGTCCTATTTTGTTAATAATTGCGTACACTTGCTGTTTTTCATTGAGTATGTATATTTGTTTCGTTGAGATATATGTACACAAATGGAATATTAACGTTACTGTAGTCATTTAACGCTGAGTTGTTTGGATTTCTTCAATAACGATTTCTGCATGGCACACGATGTTCAAAATAACGAGTAAACAATGTTCAGTTTGTACGAGTTGAAAAGTTGATTTCTTTACAAATAAACCTCAGTGAACGTCAAATGCTGATTTTTCTCAAATTTTTTTATTTTTTCTTATGTTAAAGTATAAAGAAATGTTCAAAGTGTCTGTCATTAATTTTAGCTTAAATTAAGTCTTTTAATTAAGAAAAATTTATACACAAATACTCGAATGCTATATATTTAAATATGTTTAAAGCGTTTAACAAGTAAATAGTTTCTTAAACATTATTAACTATTATAATATTCTATATATATTGAGTTTCATAAAATTAAATGTACATTAATTCTTAAGAAATGTTGATTTAAACATATGTAAAATAGGATACTCGCATAAAATAAAAAAAAATAATTATGAAGATACATATGTAGGCAAAAAACGAGCATAACAAAATTATTGTATATAAAAAAATATTTATTAAGATGTTAATTCATCCTCAAAAAGAATTGAAAATTTCAATAAATTTAAATATATGGAATTAAAAAAACGTTTAATTAAAAAAATTTCAGCTAAAATTAATGACAGATTTATTCATACTTTGAGATTAAGTAATTGTAAAAAATTTGAGAAAAACCTGTATTGACATTATTTGAAGTTTACATGTCAGAGATAAAAACTAGTTCTAGTTTGTAACACTCCTTGCACGCGATAGGTAATTAAAACAGCGCGCGCGTCTTATTATATTATTATTTCAATATATGAGCATAAAAAAGATGATTTTGTTAAAGTATCTAAAAATTAACTAAATACAGACCTGAAAAATAATTTTATTGAACCATTAAAATAATTTTGTAGAAATTTCAAGCATGATGAACAATATTGTAAAAAAGTTTTAACATTGTAGCAGTTTGAGCTACATAATTATTTTGATGGTTCAATAAAATTACTATCAGATTTGTAGTTAGGTAAAATTTTAAATATTTTAACAAACGCGGTCTTTTCTCGAATGATTCCGAATTTTCCGTCTTCAACAATACGGATTAACTTAATTTAATCTTTTTAATTTTTTTTCTATTTACTCTTTATGTTTTTCTAGTTCTAAAAATTAAAAATAGATGAAAAGTGTAAATTGTAAACTGAAATTAAAGTTAATATATATATATATTGATAGCATTAATTTTATTAGTCTTATCGATTTTTATGAAACTTATTTTTGACGTAATAATTTTTAGTTTATTTATATTCGAGTATTTAAACTCTCGCTTATTAAATGATGCACGCATTTATGGAAATGTAGATTAAAAATTGAGATTTAGAATATTACAAGTCAAGCTTTAAAAAGAAGAGGAAAAGAAGAGAAAACACTTTATGCAACACATATGCTTTTTTTATCTCATATATTTGCGATTATTATGACCATTTAAAGAGATTAATCTATCCCGTCTTTCAATGAATTTAAATTCGTCTGATTAAGTGTTTGATTTATGAATAATATTTTTATAAGCATCGAAACGAGATCACAAGCCAATCTTTCGTTCACACGAATTGCGCATGTTTAAGAATAAAAATAAAGTTGCGTATTTCTCAAAAAGCGAAAATTGCTATTGAGTCTAACGAAGTAAAATTCTCTCGCTTTTTCCTGATTAAGGCTTTCAATTTGCCGTTTAATCTCCGAAGTCGTTGGAGTTTCGAACGAAGGAAAACTGTTTCGAACAAGAAAATGTGTCGACAAAATTGCGCTACTTTTCTGCCTGCGTTACATTAGAACTCATAGAATTATTCCACGAATATAAGTACCGGATCCAGCATATTCGCGAAATATGTTTTAGTATAACTTGCAGCCGAGATAATTGAGGCGCGCACATACTATAATTACAGATATGCGGGCGCAATTAGCGTAATGATTCTTCCGCAAATCCAGGCGCCACACAAGTCGATATAATACAGTACTCCGTTGATCGTGGACATTTATTTTATCGGTTTTGACCGCCCATACACAGCTACTTTGATGTTCACATCCCATATATAGGATTTCTCAATCGGCTCAGTGCTGGGCTATTACTGGTTGCCACTGTTCAATTACTGGTGCGGTATTGGCAAACTACTGGCGCAGTGCTGGCTAAGTACTGGATGGTAACTTGGATCTAGCAGATGGTACTTGCTCGGTTATTTTACCCAATCATTTACCAGTGATGGTCCAGTATTGATTCACAGATCTTAGCCGTCAATCGACAGTCGTAGTGTTGGTTAAGCTGATTTCGTTGTAATGATTGACGCGATCCTATATGGGATTGATGTACGTCCCGATTTCCAGCGACCTATTAGCATCGTCCAATAATTTCACCGAGGAATTCTTGAGGTAGCACAAAATGCAGTGGAAATAACCGGAGAGCACGTTCCACGTGATAAATCTGTGTCGGGTGATTCCCACTGGGAGTTGTTAAGGTGTTCTGCGGATCAATGCGCAGATCGTATGTGAATTCGCAAAAACTTCGATCTCAGATTGTCTGGACTCGGCTTGGATTACTGCCGTGTACCGTTCATGCTATTTCAGATCCGTTCGTCGGTATCACCGCAAGATATCTGATACCTTTATAGGAAACTCGCGTCCTACGATCGTTAAATAAATATTTTCCAGCGCGTCTACTGCAAAGACAAATCATATTGTTAATAGTAACGATAGTAAAACTATCAAATAATGCTAAAATATTGGCATGCATACAATAGGTTCACATGAATAATTGAGTAATGATACTGCATTTCGATCATTTGCGATATAATATGGCAGCGTTTAACAAAAAAAGTAGTAACTGTTGTAAGATTCTTTAATATGATTGGTTTATACATTTAAATCTAAATGAGAAACTAAAGGCAAAATCAATCGTATTAAAGAATTTCACGATAATTATGAAATTGCTTTGTCTGCTGAATACAGTCAATAACGATGTTATTAAAAAATTGTCATTTTTTTTATTATTTATAAAACGAAAACATAAAGAAAAATCATATTTTAAAAGAACATCATTGTATTTCCTTATAATTATAGTTGTTACACCAAAATTTTAATTTTTAGTACACGCGATGATTTTTCGATTTTCTACTATATTCAATGGGTATTCATGTCCTGAATTAATTTTCATCAATTTTACATGTATAAAGATATTATTAAGTCATTCTTACATATACTTAAACATTTTTAGAAAATGTTTATAAAGTCACTTATTTAAAAAAAAAAAAATGAAAAAGGACAGATCATTATTTAGCAAAGTATTTCAAAGAAAAGAAATACGAAAAAACACGATCTCTAATTATGAAATAGTAAAATTATATATAATGGTGTGTTACAAAACTTTATCGGCTTAAAACAATCAAATCTATTTTCTAAAAATATAATTTTTTTAAGTTATATAGTTGTTGTAACAAATAAGTGATATATAAGAGTAAAATATTGCAGGGTTTCTTCGCAACTCGTTTGCTCAATGAGCATATTAGATAGAGGTAAGTGTCTATCTAACGTGTCAGTGAGAATTGTGAGGTAACCTTGTCGACAGTTGATACGTAAATGAGCTACGAGAGATTACGTTTGATTTTATTACTGTTAGCTGCGTTTACGTTTTAGAACGAGGCACGTGTCGCGCTGGCATCCGTACTAGTCTTCTAACGACGAGTCACTTTAATTATAACCCGCTACAAATCTTGGCGTTATCTCAATTCGTTTATTTATCAGATTATATAATATTTATGAGAAGCTTCGCAAGGCGAAAAAAAAAATGTAAGCGACAAGCGATTTAAGCAAATGAATCGAGCGATCAAATATATATTGCAATTAAGTTAATTTTTTTAATTAAAAAAAATGTAACGATTGATCGATTTCATGTATGCTTAAGTTCCTTACGTTTCTTTATGCTGCTTGTTAAGTTTTGTTTTAACTAGTTGAGTTTTTCTCAGTGATTTTTTTTTCCTTTGGTTCTCAGGTAAGCTTGCTTGTCCTTTGAGGCTGTTCCGATGTGCCAATGGCAGATGCATACCAATCTCGTGGGTCTGCGATAAATCGGACGATTGTTCTGACAATTCCGACGAAAGCTCGGAGGAATGCAAAAGTAAGTCACGCGCAGAATTATACGAAATACGTCAAATCATATACATAACAGCGATGACGTCGCGCGCAATCTGTACGAACGAGTGTATTTGCGCACACACGTGTCTTTGACACGTCAAATTTGCATATGTATCAAAACGGATACATCATTTTATATAATAAATATTAGTGTTGCGTGATTAAACCATTAGTCATTTATGCGTGGAATTTTCTAAATTTTTCAATCCTCATAATGGTACATGCTTTAAAATTACGTTTGTAACTCTACATTTGCTCTTAAACGAAATGCCAAATCAGAATTACGGAATTATTTCATAAAGTTGTAAAGAGAATTTTTAATAACGATGTGAGATCGGAGAATGACATAAAATAATCATTTTGTTTTTATTGGAGAAATTTTTTTACGATAAAATGCAACCGCAGACTTACGTGTCGAAAATTCTCCGCGAGTATTTAAATATTTACGAATATATATTATTAGCCGTTTATGCGTGAAATTTTGTAAATTTTTTGGTTTTAATCATAACTGTACATGGTTCAAACTTTTTTTTATTCTACATTTTAAGCGAATGTCGCCAAATCGAAGTTTTACGAATTATTTTAAAGAGTTGTAGAGAGAGACAGAAAATTTTTAAATACCTATTTGGAGATCGCAGAATTAAATAATAAATCATCTTGATTTTATCCGAGAAGTTTTTTAATATAAATTTTTTAATATATAATTTTTCGCTAGTACTTAAGTATTTATGATTTCTATTTATAATTCACCTCGCGTTATTTACAACTTGATTTTATGACGTCGGGATAGCAGTAACATCTCAAGTGTAATTGCGTGCGTAAGAGTGACGCAGAGAGGAAATATGATAAGATGTTTCGGAAGTTTCGCGCTGTACTACTGTAGAAGTGTACGTCTACGCAACGTATATGCGCGCGTGTGCAGATGTAGTTGTTAATTAAATGAAGATCTGTTGACAAATAAGCCGTCCGCGTATTTGCTCGCGCGTTCTTGCCCCGTTTTATTGATCTCGAATGGGTATCAATGGAACGTCAAACTAATTTTCGCGATTGCGACTTAAAGCCATAGCAAACTTCGGCTCTGCAGCATTCGATCGATCGTACTTGGGAGATTTGTTTACGAGGCACTGTACGCCAAACAGATCACATCCTGATCGACTTACATAATAACGCTTAATAACTGCAATAATGCGACGTGGTGACTACGTTATTTACGCAGATTAGGTACGCTGCAAAAAATTTACTAAATCTTAATACATATTTCTTTGGGTAGAATTAAGTAAATATTTACTCAATAAGAAAATGATAATTAAATGAAATTAATGGTTTTTATATCAAAGTAAAAATACATATTTATATTTAGTAAATATTTACTTATGGAACAAATTCAAACAAATGTTTATTAAAATTTAGTATTTTTTTCAGTGTGTATAAAATAAATTCGCAAAACGTTTTGCGTGATTGATATTGAATTTATAAAATTCTAATCAAAATTTGAACTATGTCTTTTCATTGATTTATATCCGCATGTTTTCGCAATTCTCTTGAATGCTATATCGATTGTTTATTTGCCACAAGGAGGAAGTTGCGCAAACGACGTCGTCCAAAGATTCGTCCAAAATTATACGAGGAAGTAATCTCATTGACGCATTCATTGCGCCTGATTTATCTTACTGCAGTACGTCTTGTATTGATCTACATGATACTGTATTCTTGCGGTTTTAAGGCAGCTGCAGACGACATGGCCAATGTACGCCAACATTGCGTTCTGCAGCAAAAGCAGTTTTGTAACAGTTGTAAGATTCTTTAATAGGATTAGTTTGTATATCTAGATCCGTGAGGAACTAAAAGCAAGAACCAATTATATTAAAGAATCTTACAATAGTGCAAAGCTGTTTTTTCTACTGAATGCGCAGCCATTTACAAATATTACACATACATACACATACATGCACAATTATTACAGTGACTATATTTTCATAGAGAAAATAAAGAAGAAACCTGAAAACTTTTTTTACGACTTTTTATTTCTAAATATTTTTAAACTAATTTGTGACTATATGTTAGAAATGTGCGTATTAGTTTCTCTTGCGTAGTACACTTGAGGTAACTCCCAAATAAAGCACTCCAAGTAAATGACATCAAAATAGCTGCAAATTTGATTACGAAAGTCACTTTTCAATCAATCACAGTTCATTTTGACGTCATTTTTACGTTATTGTGTATTTGTCATTCTGTTTGGGCCAATATTGCCTTTGCATAAAACTAAATTTTAATAAAAATTCGATCATATTAATACATTAGACATTGCAATACTAATTAGAAAGGAATTTCTTTTTATTAATAAAAAAATTGAGTTTTAAAAAATTAATACGTTTAAAAAGCATTTGCTTGAGAAATAAAGGTTCTTTATAATAAAAAACATATACGGTCACAGAAATAATTATTTATATGAATATAATCCAATATTTAACAAATGTGCGTACAGTTGGCGTACTTTAGCCACATCACTAGAGCTGCTTTTTGAAGTATATTGATTGATTACGAGGAAAAGAGAAGTCTCGAGTCTTCAGAAATTCTCTATCTTGTAGAAAATTAACACATTTGAAAAATTTGTTTCACGACAAATGAAATATTAGCTTTACTCTCACTCTGACGGTCTTTTTTCGCATATAAGTATAATCATGAATAATCGGTGTAATTTTCACGTAATTGTTTCTTCGCAAGATATTATAATTTCTTCTTCGAAACAGACTAGTATTTTCGTTGATTTATTATTTCTTGATACGATGTATCAATATTCATCAATTCGTTTAGCAAAGTTTACAACGGCTTCATGAATGACCTTTAATTCTCAGAAATTGTATGGAATTTTATAGTGTATATTTATTTCTCGATTAATAATAGTGATCTCTTCGTGCTTTGGCGCTTTTTCAATTATTTGACTGACTTTTACTGTTTTCGTGAAGCACATATTAAAACGAGCAATGACGCTGTATGTGCAGTATGTAATTATTTTCGAACATCATATGTACATAGTTTATCTCTAAATTCTAATAGAAATGATTGAGGGAATGCGTTTCACCGCGATATGATTACAACTCGAGTTTGCATCATGAATATTTGCTTGATAGTATATGTATATAACGGAACATGAATATTTGCTTGATAGCACACACATATATATATATATATATATATATGTTGTATACATATATGTGTGTGCTCATTCACAAGAAAATCTGAAGCTTATAACGCAGTAATTTCTTGCCTTGTACTTGCTAATCCGGCGCCTCTCGTAATGAAAAGAAAAACAGATAAGGACAAGTAATTGCCATAATTTTATGAATATGTGATTATAGACACGACACGTGCAATTCTACAAAAATACTATAATATAAAAACTCGTTGTCCTTGTCAATGTTTATGGTTTTTTTTCGATTGAAAATTGGCGCGAGCAAGATGCAGCTTCTTGTTAATCTTGCATCAGACAGAGTGATCTAATCTGCTCTCCTCTATTAGAGAAAACAAAACTACAGCGTATGATCGTATGTTTATCTCATTTGTCCATTAAATCATTGAGCTACTTACAATGTAGAAAGTCTTGAATGATAAGAGAAATAACGAAAGTATAATAATATCTGACAATGTTTGAAAGAGGTATTTTCAAAAACAGTTGTAATATATTATAACGTTGATTCAATATTATTTTTGAAACATTTAATATGTAATCATTTAATATACTTTAATATTAATTTTTAATATATATTAATATATTATATATTTAATATACATTAAAAATTACTATTTAATAGATATATAAATATTGTAGATCTTAATATTGTGATGTAAAAAAATAATTATTTTTTTGACGTTATGAATTTTCAAGGAACACTTGTACGCTCATATTGTTAATAAGTATATCTATATTACCAACCACTCTCTTAAACGCATAAACATCGCGTGTACATCATGACGTGGTATTTTCGTCTTTCCTTTAGTTATATTTCTCAAATTAGTCTGTGTAGTTTTACACCATGCTCTCCCCGTATTACAACGTAATTGTAGTTTTGTAGAGCGTTTAATTTTCCGTAGAAAGATTCCCTCTCTCGCATTCGTATAAATTGGTTCCACAGGCTGCGGGAACGCAAATAAACAAGCGGCTAAATAAGCAACTAAATAGACAAACTGCGGCACGATAGCGCAACGACGTGAAATAATAAGATAGAAAAGGCAAAGGAAAAGACCACGGGGGAAAAAGAGTGTTATCTAACGAGCGAAAAAGGGCAATAAAAACGAACGAGAACTGCCAAACGAACCGAACCGACATTGCCCTTTGTCGTTTCCCAGAACATTCGCAGAGGGCTTGCACTTTGCACGCAGATTTTACAGTGTGATGATTATTTCTTCTTTTTTTTCTTTCTTTCTCTTTTCCTTAGTCGGTTTCTTGCGTGTGGACTGTCATTTTGACTCAATATCTCGAATCCCACTTATTCTGTCGATTTTCTCTCACTTGTCCGTACCGTTTCAACCGTGCCGCTGATTTCAACAGTTGGTAATCAGTTTCGACCCTCGAGCGGGCCATTTCCTCGAACGATCAAATTTCATCTTTAATTAGAATCGTGAACGGGACTCGTTATGAATCTCGATAGAGAGAAACAGAGTGGAGCTGTAGATTTTCATGGAGCACATACATCAATGTCTTACGAACTGATATAGAAGCGAATCAATTATTTCAGAAATGTTAATCTCACGTTAGTCACTCAGGATTTTCCGTTAAATTGTTCCGACGAAAGGCAGTCCCGTAAATGTATAGACACAATTAAACGAAAGAGATCGTAGATTCATCAATTAATCTTGATCACCGGCACGGTGCAATGCCATCATTCTGACACGGTCACAAGGTCCAGACGACATTGCATCAGGCGCCGAGAGCGTTTCTTTTTTTCTCCTCGTTTCTCGTACTTCTTTCACGTTGAACTCTTT